TTAATGAATTTGACTTCTGTATTTCAGACCTAAATTTTAAAATGAAGTTTTAAAGTTAATTGTATAAATATTTGCCTGTGAGTTAGTTTTAACCTAATCCAATTCTAAAACCATATTGTTATCACCATCATACTAAAGAACTGCTTGCTTTCTGTGTTTTGTTTTGTTCTTTATATTCATTTTGTTTATAAATTACAGAATTTTAAACTCCATCATGTTATAATCATGTATATATGTCATAAAATATTCCAACTTAATTTTTCAGAAAACATTTTGCACAGTAGAGAAAAGATTTCATCTGTTGTGTTTTCTGTAAGGAGATTCAATAACAGACTCCCATCTCACAAAGAATATTTGTTTCTAGTTGTGAGTTGATTGTATCACTTTCAAGCAATAGAGTCAGTAATGTGCTATGTCCCACCATTTCAATCCTAGGAAATATATTTGTGGAGGCTATTTCTTTCTCAGTTCTAATTGTGTGTGTGCGTGTGTGTGTGCGTGTGCGTGTGTGTCTTTGTGTGTTTGTGTGTATACATATATATTTGACAAGAAAGCAGAAATAACTTTGTATAGATGGATGAGCAGGACTAGTAGGCCTTTGGTAGAATTGAAAACAGGTGATATGCTGTGGTTAGTTTTAATTGTCAGTTTGGCACACTCTAGAATCACCTGCAAGGGATTCTTTAAAATGCTTAAGATTAAGCAGACAGCAGTAGTATTTATCTTTGGGGTACTGCCTTGATAAAGATAATTGAGTTGGGAGTACCCACCCATGTGGGTGGCCCCAATCCCCTGTTTTAGATCTGTAAATGTAGAGGGGACGCTGAAAACCGGTACACACACATGAATTTTTTTTTTCTGCATTTGACTGTGGATATGACCAGCTACTTCAATTTTTCTGCTTTCCCTTTCTCACAATGATGCATTTAACACTTTTGGCAAACAAGCCCTCCTTGGGGTCCTTTTTTTTTTTAAAAAAAACAGCAACAGAAATATAATCAGGACAGGGAGTATGGAGGGATCATGGAGACATCATGGAGGGGTCATATTTTATTTGTGAATGAAAATGTTCTTATGAAATTCAGTATTATGTACTTAATATATGACAGTACAAATTTTGAAAAATGAACCTATGTGCATTCATTTTCTATTCAATGAAGTTTAGAGGTTTAACAAATGATTTAATGAATCTATTTACAGTGGGTACAATGAGCCTCACTAACAACCCCATACTGCAGATTTTGTTCGTTTATTTTGAAGGTGCATGTGTGTGTGGTAGGTATCACATATAGATCATATGTGAAAATGAATGTCAACTCACGCCTTATACCATGTGTCCTGGAGATCAAGCTTACTTACCACTTTAATCTGACCAAAATCTGTTAGCAGCTAAGCCATACTACTGGCCCCACTGTGTCTCTGTCTCACAGTTAGTGCAATTAAAAGATTCAAACATGTAAATGTCCTCCTCACCTGTGAAACCGTTATGTTTAGGTGAAACCGCAGACCAACTGTGAGGCTCTTACTTGCTCTTACTTGCGAAAATTGAGATGTTTCCTTCTTAGAACACTTCATGGTACATCTGTGAACAAATGGGGAGCATTAAAATAATTTTTTGTTTTGGTTTTTGGTTTCTGGTTTATTTGTTTGCTTGTTTACATTTGAGCCTAGAAAAAGAACAATGATTACTTGCTTTTCTAAATTGAAAACATTTAGAATATTAACTCCTTTAAACTGAGAAATGATCAAGTTGTTAATTTTTTACCTAAGGTTAAAAAAACCCCACAACTTTAATAATGGTGGCTCTCCTGAAGCAGGAGTTAAATGCTTCCATTAACATGATGAAAATGTGAACAGAGTAACAGGAAAGGCAGGAGAGAATTTTGGCTCAGAGCATTAGAAATGTGGCTGAGATTATTACTGAATTTATTTTTATTTTCAAGAAGATGAACCATTCAAGTTTAGTTCCTCTGGTTATATATTCATTGTTTTGGTGTGGGGATTTTTTTTTTTTGATTCTGATATTTCAGTTTGGCGGCTTTCCAGTGTTTATCCCACACGCTGGGAAAATCCTGATCACTACTCTGACAGTGGGTGGGAATTTGCTGGTAAAATGATTAGAGCCTCAGTCTGTGGAGACAAGGCCTCAAAGGGATGCACATTAAAATGATGCAAGCAGGCCCATCTTGAAAATATGTTCCATTTGAAAAGTGTGCTTTGAGTTTGTTTTACCTGCAAACAGTACCTTAAAGTCGACATACTAGAGACTGTATTCTCTTCCAGTGGTCCTAAGCTCAGTTCCTGGAGCTACACTGGGCAGTTCCCAACTGCTTGTAACGGCAGATTCATAGGATCAAACATCTTTTTCTATTTTCTCTTAGCATCTGCATTCAGATGTACAGACAACTCTCCATACCCAAAATAAAACAATCTACTAAGAATAAAAAAAAATGTGTTTTGGAGACTGCTTACACACTATAATTAAAATACTGTCAATTTGTAGGCATGGAGACATGAGTGATTTTAAGAAAATCTGACGGATGCTTTTCCCTTCCCTTGCCACAGAGCAGTTTCCTGCTTATCTCCACCAACACAGAGAACATATTTGTTTAATATTTCTTCAAACTTACTGGAAACAATATTTCTACCAAAAGAGCTTCCCTGTGGATGACTATTTGTTCAATCTTCTGATTCCTAGGTCTTCTTTAGAGGAGTCCACAAGGGACCACCATTCTGGAGCCAACATTTAGTCATCTTGATGTGGGATTAGTAATCTTACTTACACAATGTTTGTGTTTTATTTAGTGGGAAAAACAGTTAAATGGCTTTTAATAAACTTTATCTGCTTAATCAGAGATACTATTTATTGTTTCTTTTAAATTGGTTCATTTGAATTTATTTGTGTGCACAATTGTGGCCTCAGGAAGAAGAGTCCTGAACTACAAACTGTTATTATTTTGATTTTCATTAATGTAATTAGGCACCAAAATTCAATCTGTCAGAGGAATACGATGGCCAGGTTTCATCACTGAATTGAGAAACCAAGGTAAGATTCAGTTACTGAGTTTGGATGTTGTATGTGTGAGACTGAAAAAGTAAAGATGAAGAATCATGAATGCAGTATTGAAGTTGGATATCCAGCCATTCTCTGATAATATTTCATTCCTGGAAACAAAATTCCTGATAGCTGTGCTAGTGCCTAACCATGCAATTTAATTTTGTGTACAGATTTAATTACTTAAATTTTTATTGTATGTTCCAGATCAATAGAAATTTGACAAAAAATATAAATTTACCATTCTAATCTTACTCATATAATAATAAAAATCTACATAAATTTAAAAAATAAAATCAAAACAGTTAAATTGTGGCTAATAAGAAATCTGTGAACATGATAAATGCTGAGGATGATAGTGAAGAAACAAGCAGTGAGGAATGAAGGTGGAGCAACATAAACTTGTTAGCGGAGGGCAGAGCAGAGGCATGACTAGGTCCAAAAGCTAAGACCAATAATCATGATAATTATTTAATAGCAATGTGGAAACATTTTGTTATCTTTTATTTCCTTTATAGTACTCTAAATATTACAAAAGTAACACAGAATAATTAGAGAAATGGAGGAGCATTTAATGGTTGTTGCTATAAACATGATTGCATATCCACAAGAGGGAGCCTATTTAATTTTATGAGTTCCCTAAGATTAATTTACAGAACCTGACAATCAGAAAATAACTGTTTTTCCTGTAGAACTTTTACTTTTGATCAATTTTTATGTTTTGAGGCAATAGTTTATTATGTCTAATCTGGGCTTCAAACCTGGAGCCCCCGCAACTGGGATTATAGCTGTGCACCATGATGCCAAGATCTCCTTCTTAATTTTCTTAATTTAAAAACCAGACATCATGAATACCTCGATAGACCCAAACATGTTTATTTCCACTAATATGAAAGAGCATCATTTGTGCAGAATTTAAGTTTCTCTAATCATTCATGGAAATTTAAATATATTATGGAAAATGATAATAAATTTTTACAGTATTTTTCAAGTGTTTAAGTATATTTAGTGAAAAATCAAAGTTAGCATCCTATGTTCAAGGTGAAAAAAAGAGAAAATAAGTAAAGATCTTATACATAGGAATGTTTGTGTGTGTGTATGTGTATAGATGTGTGTGAGTGTATGTGTATTTGTGTATTAGTCATATATATACATGTACATATATATACATACACATATTTATGAATGTATGTGTATAATTTGTGTGTGTGTGTTTGTGTGTGTAAGAAAATAAAGACATTGAAATATAGAGAAAAGATTAAAGCATTATTGCCCTAAATTTACACTAAATTATTTATTTTTTTAACATCTTTGATTTTACCCACTAATGAAGGGTTTTACTCATATAATATTCCTAGGAATATTTACAAACTAAAACAATGAAGTGAGTTTCCTAAGTTGTCCAAACTTATAACCAGGAAACAATGATGTATCTGTGAAAGCTAACTTGTAATGAGATCAGTAGGAATGAAAAGTATGTTAGACTCAATTGTAGTCAGCTGTTTTTTTCAGCTCGAGATGATGATTTTCACAGGGGAAAAAAGATGTACAGTGTGCTCGTGCTTTACTTATTGAAAATAACATTCTCATGGGTCAACAGACCAAAACACAACATGAGAATTTTATATTTTGTTTTATTTTAATTTAAATTTTTATATTTTGCATTTAAGAAAGAGAGGGCAGGGAAAGGAGAGGAGAAGAAAGTAGAGAAGAATAGGAAACAGACAGACAAACAGACATAGAGACAGAGACAAAGGACACAGAGACAGAGAAGATGAAGTTATGTGGATAGGAGATAGTTTGGATCAAAGAGGCATTGAGCAAGAAAAAAGCATGATAAAAAATTTAATATGAAAGAATTAAAGAAAAAACAAAGTTCCTAACAAACTAACAAAAATATTTTTTTCAGATTTCCCAGTTGAGAGTTCCATGCTTCCATCACCAAATGGAGAATCCAAACAATGTGACTGAATTTATTCTTTTGGGAATTACGAAAAATTCAGAGCTGAGAAAAGTATTCTCTGCTTTGTTTCTAGTCATGTACATGGCCACAGTGTTGGGAAATGTACTCATTGTAGTAACTATAACCAAAAGTAACAGTCTGAGGTCACCCATGTATTTCTTCCTCACTTCTCTGTCCTTCATGGATGTCACCTATTCATCTGTCACTGCTCCCAAGTTAATTGTGGATGGCCTTTTTGACAGAATGACCATCTCCTTTGGAGGCTGCATGATTCAGCTCTTTGCTGACCATTTTTTAGGTGGTGTAGGGATCATCCTTCTCATTGTGATGGCTTATGACCGCTACGTAGCCATCTGTAAGCCCTTACATTACATGACTATAATGACTCCTCGAGTGTGCTGCTTTATGGTGGGAGGGGCTTGTGTAGGAGGATCCGTGCATGCAACTGTTCAGCTTCTCTTCATGTATCAAATACCTTTCTGTGGGCCCAATGTCATTGACCATTTTATGTGTGACTTGTTTCCATTGCTGCAACTAGCCTGCACAAACACACAGATCCTGGGTTTCTTAGTCATTCTCAACAGTGGGGTGATGTGTGTGACCATTTTTCTTATTCTCATCACTTCCTATGTTCTCATCCTCTGTTCTCTAAAGTCTTGCAGCTCTGAAGGAAGACAGAAAGCTCTCTCCACATGTAGCTCTCACTTCACAGTGGTTGTGCTGTTCTTTGTACCTTGTATCTTCTTGTATATGAGGCCTGTGGTCACTTATCCCATAGACAAGGCAATGGCTCTGTGTGCTACCATTGTTGAACCAATGTTAAATCCTTTGATCTACAGTTTGAGGAATGCAGAAGTGAAACAAGCTCTGAAGAAACTGTGGATTAAACGGGGACTTTAAGTCATAAGACCTGATAGTTTAAGGACCAAATATTTCCTATAAAGCTGTGGATATCTACCTTCAAGTGTACTATAGTTTTCTTTTACATATATATCACTGTCAGATATATCAGTTAAGATTATAAAACTGTCCAAGATACCAAGCCTATGGATGTCAGAATCGAGTTTTCCAACACAAGCATGATTTGTACTATATCTTCCTCAGATACCTCTTGTCATATATTTTAAAGGTGTGCATTTTAACAATGTGAACTTTCCAAGTTTAGAGACACTTTTATTTTTTGTGTTAGCTGGTAAGATACATACCAGAGGTTTTGTTTGTCTGACTTTCTGTATATTTTTTCAGATATATTTCTATTTGAAACTGAAAGAAAAATAATATTTACTTGCCTTTCCTTAATCTTTACTTCTACACCCAAGTTGTAGGTAGCATCAGGATTTATGATCATAATTTATATTTTACACATATTTCTTGTAAATATAATGTGCTAGCCAGGTAAGTCTAAGGAGCTGATTTTCACATGAGAACTGACATTTAAACAAACACTTGAATATAATTACTAGCTTTTTTTTTGTATTCCCAGAGTTTCGGAGGTAGAGAAAGGACAGGTAAATTTCTGTAACTTGCTTGTTAGCTAGCCTAGGATTACACACACACACACACACACACACACACACACACACTCACTCACTCACTTTGATTTGTAACCATATACCCATGATAAAACACACATGAATGAACATGCATGCATACATACATACATACATACATATACACATATACATACACACATTTCTCTTGGATTTTATATTGTTTTCCTTCCTTCCTTTCTTCCTTCCTTCCTTCCTTCCTTCCTTCCTTTCTTTCTCCATTCATTCTAATTGTAATTCTTGTCAGAGTAGAAATTATACTTATTTTTTCATTCTATCACCACTCTGATTATTAACAGAATACACAGTCAAATAATATGTACTCAATAAATACTTTTAGTGAATATGTAAAGAGATCAAAATTATCAAATTAAATATTTTTAAATAAACAGGAAAACCAAGGTAAAGAAAATGGGTATAGAGAGATATTTAGGAGTAGAAATACTAATTTGAGTGCTTCCATGTGAACACTTAGGGAAAAATCTCCGTTTAGTAGAGTGTTCTTATGATACAGAGGACACCACAATATCACAGTACTTACCTACTTTTGTCACTCTTTAGAGAAACAGCTGTATCCTATCAGAATATAGCATATCAATTACTTAGACAAGAAAAGTACTGACTAGTAATACTGAAATTATGAATGATTCGTTAGTTTCCAAAAATGTCTTCTCTTGTGTATTCCCAAGGTCTAGTGAATTAATACAAATGCAAATTAGATTATTCATCAAACATACTACTTGTAACATACTGGAGTATGTTCTTTATCCCCAACACGTTCATCTTCTGATAAATTTTTATTTAAAGCTTTCAAAATAAGCAAAAGCAAAATAAAATAAAATTAAAGACCTTTAAAATATACAATGTGACTCAGCTATACCTCTTCTTGGCATATTTCCAAAGGACTTGACATCCTACTCCATAAACACTTGCTCATCCACATTCATTTCCACCCTATTCATAAAAGCTGGAGATGGAAACAAGTTGTATATCCTTCAACAGATGAGTAGATAATAAAAATTGTGGTACATTTACACATTGGAATAGTATTTAGTTCTAAAGAAAAATAAAATCATGAAATATGCAGGTAAATTGTAGGACCAAGAAAAGATGATACTAACTTAATGCAGACACAGAAAGATAAACACCACACACTTTCCTTCATCTTTCCTGGGTCCAAATTCTCAAATATAAATATTCCACATGGAATAACTGCAAAAATCAGAAAAATATAAAGGGACCATGAGAATGATGTGGGGAGAGGAATGGATTCAGGTGATATGAAGCAAGAAATTAAATAAAAATAGGAAAGAGGCTCTAATTGGTAAGAAAAGAGGCGAAGTAATAGAGAATAAAGGATATGAACGAATAGCACTAATGATGTTTGATAGACACTAATAATTCATATTTTATACTTACTTAAAATTATATATAATACATGTGCACATATACATGCATTAATATATACTCTATATATGTGTGGATAGATAGATAGATAGATAGATAGATAGATAGATAGATAGATAATTGATATACAAATTATGGAAGTCAAGACACTTGGGCTGGCACTTTTCCCAAAAATAATCACAAACTAACAAAAGCACCAGTACCAGGCATGAGAAACCTCCTTGTGAATGATTTGTCAGTGTAAATCAAACAACTCCCAAAAGCTAATGCTATACATTATTGATTTAGCCTTTGGTTGCCTCTCGGAAGTTGACAGTGGACCTTTATCACTGTAGGCATTATACACTTAGGACACAGAATTCAAATGCTTTAATCTGGATCTGACTTAAAAACTTCTTTCCTGCAGTATGGCATCCATGATTCAAGAAAACACTGTTTAAACTGCCAAGAGAATGAGGCAATTAAACAGACCTACCCAGCTGCAAACCTGTTAGTCATAATTATAAGCATTAAAAGGTATGCCTAAAGATGCAAGAAGTGACACTATATCCTTGGCTATACACATTTAATTATTTTTCTCCAAGACGTCAGCAATAAAAGTGAGGGCATTTAATTGGTGAAAGGGTGGATCCTGAAAAGGCAACGCCAAGGTGAATTCATTGCACCCTCAGATTGTGAAGGGTTTATTTTGCCTATATATTTCCCCCTCTTCCCTTTTTTTTTTTTCATGCATTGTAGCTCTCCCTACCTTTAGCCATTTGAATGAGAATGTCTCTTATGAACTTATATACTGGAATACTTGATCCCAGTTTGAGGAATTGTTCAGGAAAAATTATTAGATAGTTTGTTCTTCATGGAGGATGTGTGTCTCTTGGGGTAGGGTGTGAGATTTCAAATGTCTGTTCTGCCATGTACTTGAACGCTCAGATAACTCAATGGAATGCAGTAAGAAATACAGATTATTATTCAGTGAAAAATGTAACTTAAGCCTCACACAATGACCTGAGCCTATAATCACAGTTACTTAGAAGGATGAAGCAGAATCATCATGAGTTTGAAGTTAGTCTGATCACAGTAAGATTATGTTACAACAAAGAAACAGGAAAGAAGAAAGAAAGAAAGAAAGAAAGAAAGAAAGAAAGAAAGAAAGAAAGAAAGAAAGAAGGAAGGAAGGAAGGAAGGAAGGAAGGAAGGAAGGAAAGAAAGAAGGAAGGAAGGAGGAAAGGAAGAAAGAAAGGAAAGAAGGAAAAAAGAAAGAAAAGAAAGAAAGGAAGGAAAGAAAGGTAAGAAAAAAAAGAAAAAAAGAAAGAAGGAAAGAAAGAAAGAAAGAAGGAAGGAAGGAAGGAGGAAAGGAAGAAAGAAAGGAAAGAAGGAAAAAAGAAAGAAAAGAAAGAAAGGAAGGAAAGAAAGAAAGAAAGAAAAAGAAAGAAAGAAAGAAAGAAAGAAGGGAGGGAGGGAGGGAGGGAGGGAGAGAGAGGGAGGGAGAGAGAGAGGAAAGAAATTAAAAAAATGAGACATGGCTGATCAATTTCTGCAGTTTGAAGTTGTTCAGAGATATCTTAAATTAGTCAGACAAGAAGACAAATGAAACATTAGAAATAAAATTGAAATTTTCTGTCTTTTTAGTTATAGTATTCTGGGTAAGTAAAATAATTTTAGTATAAACCTAATGCTTCTATGTCTGAGTTGGAAAAAACATAATTATGTCATAAATATATTGTGGGATAAATAATATAGATGTGGCTTCAAAATAAAGTATGAATAATGTATATTTTCTTTCAATGCTAAACTTAGGCTAAATATGGAATGCTCTTTAAATAGGGATAGTCATACATTATTAACTAAAGCTGCAAAGTAAATAAGTTGGTAATTCTAAATTCTCCTGAGAGTGGAAGCAAAAAATTCTCATAGGATTTTGAGGAGTTATGTATTTCACACTCTCAAGTTTTTTCCAATCACTTTTTCCAGGAGTTAGGATGAGAGTGAGTTTTCTTAGGGGTTTATCTGAAAACTGCTCTTAGGAAAGGAGAACCTGTCTAGGTGACTTGATAGAAATAAAATTCTGTGAGACCAAGTCAAGATCAAGAATTAAACTAAATAGACCTGAGTTTGTGTTGCTGAGATATGCTCTTCCTGGTTTAAGTTCTCCATATCACATTTCCCTATGAATAAAATAGGAATATTTATACAGCCATTCATAACTAACAACATGCATGTTATTCCATGAGATGAGATTAATGAAAACATCATAATAATTGGAGGGAGATGTAGGTTCCTGAAAGAAGCCAAATTAAGGATACCATTCTGACAAGGGACATGATGATATTGTTGAAATACAGAAAAGAATTGTGGTCTCATTATTCCAAAACTCTAAATTTCTTTTGATAGCATTTCTTTGTGTTTGATGTAAGAGGAAGCCCAGGTGGCATCTTCTAGACTGTGCAGTTAACATACAATGTTTTAATTTTAGTCCCCATTTTGTGTTCAGTATACTTTTCTGGAAGCATTAGAGGACAATAGGGGCAGTGAATGGCTGCAAATTTTACAGAAGAGAGAAACTGATGATGAGTGAAGAAGAAGAAAAACTAAGTTCAAAGGGAAAAATATCAGAGAGAAATAATCTTTGTAAGTACATGCATTATTTTGTTCCAGAAAATCCCATGTGGCACTCATGTTAGAAATCTAATTTTTTTTTGAGAAAAACTACATTTTAACTATGTAGTGAAAAAAAAACTAGTAAGTCTTCTGTATATATATGCATATGTTAAACATTTTACCAGCAGTCATGTTGTTAAAGAAGAAAACATAACAAGATACATGATTAGTGAATAAAAGTGGCAGAACAATGAAAAACAGGTATCTCTTATGGAGCTTGGTGTTTCTGAGCACAGACGTGGTCTCAAACAACACACTCATGAGGCCATGTTTTCAATTTTCCCAGTA